TTTGGATTTTTCGTTATTAAAGTGTAATGATCATTTTCTAACTCCATTTACTAAGGATCAATAATCCTCTTGCATTGCATAGTTATTGTTGATATTTGTAATCACCGAAATAATTTTTGTATTGTAGGCATACAACTTACAGCAATTTTTTATTTCTTGTGATATATCATCAACATAGATAACAAATAATAGCGGTCCTATTACTGAGCCCTGTGGCACTCCACTTAATACTTCCTTTTATTCTAACTTATAAGTGCTAAGGAAAACTCTTTGAATTAGTCAGATTTCTTTAAACCAATTTACTAAAACTTCAGTTTTACAAATTGCTTTTAACTTTATTAACAATCTTGTGTGGGTAACTGTATCAAATGCTTTGGAGAATGCTACATCAATTGAAAAATCACGTTCCAGAGAATGTGAAATTAAACCTAAAGACTCTAGTAAATTTGTGCAACAGTTTTTACTACGGACAAAGCCGTGCTGCAAATCAGATATTAATTTATTTTCAACAAGATGTTGCATCAAAGTGTCTCTGATTATACTCTCAATTACTTTGCATACAACAGACGTTAATCAAACAGAACGGTTATAAGTTGCTTTCAATGTTTCTCCTTTTTTAAATACAGGGATAATATTTGCACACTGTCATAATCTCGGAATTATGCAACTTGAGTAGGATCGATTAAAAATCATTGACAATGGAGTTGAAATACTATTAGGACATTTCTTTAAAACTCTCGGGTGGACTTTGTTTTCACCAGTAGATTTATTAACATTCAGTTTACTTAACTTTTTAATAACGGTATCAATATTTATATCCGAATTTGCAATCGGTTTAGGTAATGCTTTAATAAACGTTGGTTCATTCTCGTTTTCTTTTTGAAAAACTAAAAAAAAAAAAAATATTTAGTACTCAAGTAATATCTGATTCAATTATCGATTTTGTTCCATCTTCCATTTCCAGAGCACTTATATTCTGATTGATTTTAGTTTTACTGTTTATATATTGGTATATCAATTTAGGATTTTCTTTGGCTTTATGAACAATTTCATACTCATGTTCTCTGATTGTTGTTTTTACTGTTGTTTTTTTTGTGACTTTATTGAAATTATTGTATTGCCTTAATAAATTTGTTTTTAAATTTGGAATTCCTGTACTTGATCTATAGTTTTAGTTCAACTTTATTAATGCTGCTATTTTTTATTAGGCCAAGGTGGTCTTTTGATTTTATTCATGTTTGATTGTGGGATAACTCTATAGCAATTATAACACAGTGCATTATAACATTATAACATAGTGCATGCCAAATCATAATGTTGTAACCATTTATTATAACACTCGTCTGCGTTAATGTTTTGAAAGAGATTATCCCAGTTGATTTTATCAAACTAATTGATGATATTACTGTAATTCCCTTTATAATAAATATATTTTTTAGCGTATGATTGACTAACAATTTTATTTGATAGAGTAAAAATATAGGAAAAAGTAAAAATATGATGTCCGTTAAATCCGTGTTGAAGTGGTGGTTAGTGCATTAAATTGAAAGTTCTTGAATTTGTTTCTGTTATTAGCAGATCCAAATTATTATTTTTGTTTAATTATTATTTTCAAAACGAAATGTTGGTTTTATTACGTTTTGGAACTAATAGAATTTATCTAAGTCATCTATAAATAACTGCGCTATTTCGTTTTTTCCATTTACTTTGCCTACATGAATTGCTCCAATCAATTTTAGAGAAATTAAAATCCTTACATAAAAGAACTTACCATATGCTTTTTTATTCAATATCATCTTGTGATTTGATTGGCAGTTTTTTTTTGTGATTTGATTGGCAGTTTTTTTGTAATTTAATTTGCGTGAAGATGTTTGATTTTTTTTTTAATATCATTTTTTTTTCTTTTATCAATATTTTACAAATACGTAATCATAATATAAAATGTTTTGTTTACAAGGTATAAAATAAAATATCCTACATATTGTATGAACTTTTTTCAGTAAAAATAATAAATTTACCACAAATAATTAATACAAAAAGTTAAAACAACGCAGAAAACTTGCAGAAGACCAGAATGTCTAGCCATCAAGAAACCGCTTGTACTTGTAATCTTTTTTTTAATTTAGTTTTACAATGCTTCTAGTTTCACTAAATCTAGTTTCACTTTGTTTTATATTAGATTGACATATAACAAAATGAATTCACAAATAATAAAAGTTCTTTGCTTAAAAAAGTATTTGATGGCTTGTTTGAACAGATTTAGCCTGATGTAGATGGTTTTTTAGTATTATTGTGCATTGATTGGTTTTGTGCGTGCAATATTGGCTTTTTGCCATTCAACAAATGGGTATATCGAACAGCCGTTGATTTCAAAGGTCTTAAATACATCGATGCAGCGAACCCTGTCAATGCGGATGACGAATCGAAATGGGTTATCAAGAACACCATATTTTTTAAGATCACTGTTTGCTGTTTTTCTTTCAATGTTAGGCTTATTAAACTCAGCTTGCTCCGCTTTTGTTCGATCAGGTCTGACCAAAACATTCTTGTGTTTAGTTTTGGAAATAATAGATGCTCCTGCTAATACCATATCTCTCATTTCTACACTTTCAAATTGCACAATAATTGAGTTTGGCATTTCTAGCATTAGAGCCGTTTGTTACATTGGTGATATAACTGATCTTGAACTTTATTTTACGAGTCGATACAATTTTAGCGTTAACATTTAAACATGATATTATTTCTTTAACTTTTTTTTAGTTATGAATTCCTCTGCAATCTGCTCTGAGGCATCTAAAGGGAACATGTCAACAAATATAGCCTTTTTATCTTGGTTTTCAGTTGCTTTACCATTCGCAGATATTGGACTAGCGAGAGCTGTGTTAACTTGGGATCCTGTCTTAGCTAAGGCTGCTGCAAAGTCGCTGTGTTTTGAAATCTAATTATTATTGTCATTTAAACAAACTTTTTTTTCCTAAAGTATTTTAAGTTTCAATTTCAAATAATTGATTACAACTTCTTTATCAATGACAGTTTGCTCCAGATTGTCAATCCTCTCCATTAGCACTGTTTTGACTTGATTAATTGCAAAAGCATTGAGATCTTTTACTTTCTTTTCTTTGTTCAATCCTAAAGCTATTCGATCTTAATAGGAGGACAACCACCTTTATCAGTGGATTTACTACTGGTCATGAAATGTTAAGTTATTAGTTTACCTTATTAACACAAATAGAAATATAGTATTTTTTCATTAACACAAATTTTAACACAACTTATTAACACAAATAGAAATTTAGTATTTTTTCATTAACACAAATTTTAACACAACTTATTAACACAAATAGAAATATAGTATTTTTTCATTAACACACATTTTAACACAACTTATTAACACAAATAAAAATATAGTATTTTTTCATTAACACAAATTTTAACACAACTTATTAACACAAATAGAAATATAGTATTTTTTCATTAACACACATTTTAACACAACTTATTAACACAAATAGAAATAAAGTATTTTTTCATTAACACAAATTTTAACACAACTTATTAACACAAATAGAAATAAAGTATTTTTTCATTAACACAAATTTTAACACAACTTATTAACACAAATAGAAATATAGTATTTTTTCTGTATATACATCATAAAAAATTATATAAGAGACTTAATTATAACTTAGTTATTTAAAAATGAAAAGCAAAACGAGTTTTAAAATTTCTATTTTAAATAAGTTTTCTCAAAGTTTTTTCTATTATATTACCATTGATTATTTAATAGTTTATTATAAATAAAGAATTTTTGTTATATTAATTTTAATAGTTTATTATAAATAAAGAATCCTAAAAGGTTATGAATAATAACTATCTCCTGCTTTCAATTGAAAATATAGCGCATTTTAGGTTACAATAAAACTAAAAAAAAAATCAAATGTTGCTCAGATCTGTACCCTTAAAAGGTAGTTTGATAAATTAATTTCACCAAAAAAAAATGATGGGAAGAAAACATTAAAGAAGACTAAAAGGTTGAAATAAACTTGTAGCAGAAAGAGCAGTGTATTATATAACGTATGACTGATCTTAATAAACTAAGTGAAAAAGATGAAGACCAAATAATTCATCGATAACTGAAAACTTTGAGATAATACGGAAATGCCTAATGAAATAACCAAATGTTAAACATTTAATCCATCTATTTACATAATCGTTTTCAAACTAAAATGTTGTTTAATAATCCCAAAATAACTAATTTTGCGGAATCGAAAAAAAAATAAAGTGATTCAATAAAAAATGTTTAATAAAGGAAATTGTCTTGGTTATTTAAAAGTACTCTTTACTAAATAAGTTAGTATTGACAAGGGAAAAAAATACAAAACATCTTTAACATATATATATATATATATATATATATATATATATATATATATATATATATATATATATATATATATATATATATATATATATATATATATATATATATATATATATATATATATATATATATATATATATATATATATAAAACAATGGATATGTCATTTTTGTTTATGATTGCTTTGAACTGATATCAATTAAATCAAATTAATACACAAGAAAACAATTTTGTCAAACATGGTTAATAAAAAAAACAATAAAAATAAAAGGGTATCTTTTTTGACAACTCTTTTAACTAAAGTAAATCCAGACGTATAATAAATTTGCCAATGTAATGCTGACCCTTAAATTGTTGCAAAGTTATGTTAAAGCTATCGAAATATTCAAAAATAGTCGCTGCTGCTAATGACACCATATACCTCTCATATTGCATATTTATTAGTAAATATAATTATTTTCCGATAAACATTTTCATAAAAGTATGAAATCTTTAAACGGGATTTTTAACATAATTCAATTGTAATCCTACTAGTAAACGCCTAAACTAAAATTTTAATATTCTTTCAGATTTACTCAAATTTTGCTACTTTCTATCAAACTTAACATTATTGTTTTAGGAGTTTCTTTCAAAAATAAAACTCGTTCATCGCGACCTTGCTGCCAGAAACGTATTGGTTGGCGCAAAAAAAAATGTTAAAATTTCAGATTTTGGTTTGTCACGAAAAATCCATTATGAAATGCAGTATGTAGGCAGCAAAGTTCGTCGTTTGCCGGTGAAGTGGATGTCACTTGAATCTATTCTTGACCAAGTTTTTACTTCATACAGTGATGTGTAAGATTTTTTTTTAATATTTGTAAAAAAAGTTTTAGATTAGTTAACAAAAATAAATTTCTTTTAAAAGAATTTTTTTTTGTTTATGTGTATTCTGTTGTATTTAAAAGTTAATATTGAAATAAATACTTTAGCTGGGCGTATGGTATTGTTTTGTTTGAAATTGTTACCCTTGGTAAGTTTTTTTTTTATTTTATCATTTATTTATTTATTTTTTGTCGTTTTACATATTTAAAATAAAGACATATTACATATACAAATATTGACCGGAGCAAGAAGAAGACATTGACTGTCTTATCAGCGAGTCCCGTTTACATATTGTCCGATTTTGTAAACAAAAAAAAAACATACATAAAACACTAAAAAACACAAGACGCATTTTAGACACTTATAGACGTCTAAAACTAGTCTAGGTAAAGACGCACTTTTATAGACGTTTTAAAGACATCTTCTAGACGTCTTTTATGAAGGCGTTTTTTAAAATGACGTTTAAAAGGCGTCTATTTAAGCGTTAAAAAAACGTCTAGAAGATATCTTTTTTTAAGACATCTTCTAGACGTCTTTAATAAATGCAATTTTAACATGACGTTTAAAATGCGTATTTTTAAAGTTTAAAAATACGTTTAAAAGACGCGTAATAAATAGTCTAAAATACGCATTAAAAGACGTCTAGATCAAAGATAAAAGACGTCTTTTCTGAGACCTGTTTATAAATATGTCATTATGACTTCTTTTTGATGGCTTTGTCATTACGCGTTAAGTAGATGTCGTATATTCAAAGTAAAAACATAGTTTTTATTATTTTCAATAATTTGTTCAAGTTTTAAGTGTAAATTACTTTAAATTAAATTACTTTTTTACACAATTGCTAAAATTGTTGTCACAGGAATCACTAAAATAATTGCTATAATAATAATATATCTTTTTTTATTATTAATTATTTTGCTTTTTTAATAGATAGTTGACTGATCATGATAATAAGTGAAAATGGCAAGAATAATATATAAGTTAAATATCAGTACTTTTAGTTTTTATACTCCCACAAGCCATATAATAAGTCAAATATGCGGTCAAAAATTAGCTAGCAATACGTAATTTGAATTTTATTATAACTAAAAGTAAGTTATAAATGTTTTAAATACTGTTTTGATATATATTTGTTATTGGTATTTATTATTTTCATCTTTGATGCATCAACCGTTGGTGGTGATTTACAGCAATATTATTTTGATTGCCGGTTCCTATGTATATTTTGTAAATACGAAATTATAACAATATATGATGTTATAAATACAATAAATATATACCACATACTACGCGAAATTGTAACGTCATGTACTTAAATTTATCTTGAAAAAAACGTCTAACATACGTCTAAAACGCGTTTTTATAAAGACATCTTAATTTAGACGTCTTTTAGCCTTATGATCTAGACGTCTACAAGTGCGCCTTTTAGACCTCCTTAAAGACATCTTTAAAACGTCTTTTAAACGTCTTTGTGCTTACTGGGTAAGCAACTTTTATAATGATTTAAAATTAAAAAAAAAAACGTTTTTCATGCACATACAAATATATTTAATTCACGTTTAACAATATATATATATTTAGTGCGAATAAAAAAATTTTTTATTTTATAATCACCTTAAAAAAAAAAAATTAAAGTCTATTGTATTAACCCTATTCAAACTGAGTCACGCCATGAAGGTGCAGCAAAAAGTTAAACCGATATATTTTTTCTCACGATTAACAGCTTTTGCTAAAATCTTACGACTTTTCATATTATACTAAACTGCACCATTTCAACATTAACGGCTGACTGAAAAGGTCTTATAGTATTCTTATCGCTATTTTGTTAACGACACCCTCAAGCATGAATTTTTGAAAAGTTCACTTTGCAGCAATATTATTGAATATAACTAAATTTTACAGCTTCTTAAACATAAGTTTAACTGCAATGTCTATTCCTACTGATTTGTACAGAATTAATAAAAAACAAAATACAATGAAAAATATATTAAGAAAATATGAGCAAAAAACGTGTTTTTCGGAGAAAATTCTAAAGTAAATATTCTCAAGTTTGTTGAGAACTTTAATAATGAAAGCAGTTATTTGGTTAAATCGGACGGAGCATCAGGTGTACAAAATTTAGATAAATATTGCATTTATGCCATAAGCCAAGGCCAGCGCGATGGGAGGTGCAGGGTGTGACACCCCCCCCTCATCAATGATTTTTTTGCTCATTTAATAGGCAAAGTTGACCCTTTTCGACAAGTTAGTTGGTAAATGTAGACCCTTTTGACAGGTACGTCTGAAAAATTAGACAGTCAGCTGGCAAATGTTGTTATGGCAGTTCGAGGGTAGTCGGCAAATTTTAAAAAACGAAAGCCTTTTTTTTTTTTTAAAGTCAGCAAAAGTTGTAATGGCACCCCTTTCCCAACGTGATACCTACTCGCGCCGGCCCTGCTTAAAGTTTTTTAGTTTTAAAACTGTCTTAATAAACTAGATTTTGAAGATGTATCTAATAACAAAAGCGACATCAAAGACAATGAGGATGTTGAAAGCAAGAGACAAAACAGAAACCCTAAGCGATAACTGACCTACCAAAGAAAAGTTAATTTAGCTTATGAGAACAATATTTGCATGTAATATAACCACAAGTTTTATTTTTAACAGTTTGAAAGGTCTAGATATTACCTGCTAATTTCTTACCAAGTTGTTCAAAACATCTAATGGCAATCTCCAATCTGCGAATTCTAGCTATGAAAAAATCATAAATATTGAACATAATTGAACACAAATAGATTTAATGGTTTTCTCTTTTCCAAGGTACAAGCTTTGCTCTACAAGAGCACAACCAAATATTAATTTGACTGGATCGTGAGATTCTTATAGAACCTGTTTTAAATTTTTCTAAAGAGTGGTTTTTTTTATTGAACTTTTTAATAAATTTTTTTTTATAGAAAGGTCCTTCATATTGAATTTTTTTTTTTTTTTTTAATTTAGTTAATTAAGGTGCTCTAAAAAGTCCTTACGGAAATATCACAGAGCACCGCGGAAGAGCATTTAATAGGAAGTTCACGCCTCCTTCCCAACCGATGTCGCAAAACTTGCCCAGAGGTGGGGTTTAAACCACGGATCTTACTCTTCTGAGGCAAGTAGGCTACCACTGCACCACGGCTGCTTTATCATTTTTTAAAATAAACCTTGGCTGAATTCATTTGAACTCACGGCTGAATTCGGCTTATTTTGGAATTCGGAAATTCGAAAATTTGGCAGAATTCAGCGGATTTCGGAATTTGGCGGAATTCGGAATTCGGCGGATTTCGAAATTCGGCGGAATTCAATAGAAATATTAAAATAAAAGTGAATATATTCTATATGTCATTATAAAAAACAATAGTAATACATAGTATTTATTTACTTTATAATAATTTAAAGCCTTGAGACAATTTAATAATGGTTTGCAATTCACAATTCTGTTTGCCCCAAATACAATCCTACAAGCATGCTATTGTTTACTATAAAGTAAGGAGTTTTAAGTTTAAGTTGTCTGTATTTCCTATTTCCCTTTCAATGTTGCAGTAAGAAAGACAGCTGTGAATAAATGAAAAATTAATTATTAAGAGCTCTAATATTTAAAAATGGCTATGTTTTTTAATGTGCCGAAATATTATAAGAGATTTTACTTTTAATGGATTATGTATTAAGCTTACATGACAAATTTTCATATAGAATTACTCCTAAAAAGTTAAGAGTATATTCCCTTTTTAAATCTGTTTTATAGAAAAATGACTTTGCTGTTTAAGTGGAATTTTATCAAATTTATTTGGTTTTTGGAACAAGATAAGTTTAGTTTTATCTGCATCTTGCGAAAGGTGGTTACTTAGAAACCATTTATTTACTTTAGATAACTCTCAATTAAAAAATTTATAAAGATTTTTTATATCTTTGTATGAGTAAATCAGATTGAACTTGTCAGCAAACAATATAAGATATAGTTATTTTAGATGCTAAAAATAAGCCATTTATATACTCTAGAAACAATAAAGGTCATGCGTGAGATCCTTGGGGAAACCCACAATTTATAAGTTTTTTTTTTGGTTTCATTTGTTTTATAGGTTATGCATTATTTCCTGTTAGTAGGGTATTCTTTAAGCCACAGTAAGGTTAAGTTGTTTACTCCGTAAAGTTCATATTTTTTGTAAGGATTTTATGATTGGCAGTGTCTAATGCTTTGGACAAATCAATGAAAACTCCTAATGTAAAATAACTTTTATAAAACGCATCTGAAATATGGTTTACAAATTTAAATACCATATAATCCGTAAATTTTTTTTTGTAAATCTAAATTGTTTGTTTTACAGAATGTTATTTGAAATAAAATGATTATAAAGCCTATTATAAATAATGCGTTCTAGCAATTTAGAGAAACAAGATAAGACAGATATAGTTATGTAGTTTGAAACAATTGTTTTAGTTTAAAAAGTTAAAATTATAGTTTATGTACTTATATTAAGACAAATAAAATAAAGTTTTAAAATTAATTTTTATTTTAATGACAGGTGGAACACCATATCCGACATTAAGCAATCGAGAACTTTTAAGTTTTTTAAAGGCTAATTGTAGAATGGATCGGCCAGAAAATTGTTCTAGTGTAGTGTAAGTAATTTTTTTTTTTTAATGCTATATTTTTCATTTTTAATTAATTAATTTTATTTTCATTACTTTTTTTGTTTTGTTTGGTTGTTTTGTTTTTTGTTGCTATTTGTTTTTTAACTTTTGAAATTCTTTTTTTTTTCATTCTTTAGGTACGATATCATGCTGAACTGTTGGAATAAAGATCCATTACTGCGGCCAACATTTACTGAATTACGCAATAAAGTTGAACAAATAATATCACAAGGTGGTCGTTATTTGAGCTTTGATATTAACGAAGAAAGTCCTTATTACAATGTTCCCTCTTTTAATAGCGTCGGATCCGAAACAGGCATACACTAAGCATTTTATTAGAACTGCTAGTCTATTAAAATAATAAAAACTTTATGTATAAACGCGATTTCATTGTCTCCTTAAAATAAGATAGTAAACTCGAAATAACTTAAGGAACATAAATAATCAAACAAATCAAATTGTTTATTAGTTGAGTAAATATAATTGCTAAGCATAATAGTTAAGTGTAAACTAATGTATCAATAACCAAGCACGCACAGACGTCCCTGGGACGTCTATACGACGTCTTTTGAACGTCACAAGTCCGTTGAAAGTTATTAAGACGTTCAGCGGACGTTCTGTGCCGCGCAGACTTTTTTTCTGGACAAATAATTTTAAATTTTTTTTTTTTTTTCATTATTATTATATTATATTGTGTTTTGACTATTTTTTGTAACACTTAAGTTTATGTCACAGTACTACTTGTAGATTTTTTAACATTTTAAAAAGTTTTATAAAAAAAATTTTTGGTTATTGTAGTTTAATAATTTCTAAAATTTGACATTTTTTTGACTAGTCTTGATAATTATTTAAAAAAAATTGAAAATGTTTTTAAAGTTGACAGTAGACATAAAAATCTTTAAGCTATAACGGAAAAATATCAAAAACAATTTCCAAATCACAAAAATACTAGCTGAATCAAAATTTTTGGAGCGTTAAGATACAATTACAGTAAAATATTGTGTCATAGTTAAATGACCAGTCCAGTAAGATTAAGTTTTGGTTGATGGATTAAATGATAATAGCTTTTATAAACAGTAACCATAGTGGTATTTTTAGAAAAACGGAAGAGGTCTAGTCTTTTAACAATTGAAATTGCTAGAGATGCCACATCACTAGGAAAAATTGATCCAATATGAGAGTATTTGCAGTATTCTATACGATTATGGAAAATATTTAGTTTAATGAAAAATTTTATCTTACGCACGGGAAAAATTTTTTGTTACAAAATCAACATCATAAAAGTTTTCATGTAGCTGACATGTAAAACGAGTGAAACGACGTAAAACTAACGTTTTACTGACGTAAAACGAGTGGAACAAATCTGCATTTATTTTATACATATATCAAAAGTAACCTGTTCGTGACTGAGCCAAAAACAACTACATGACTGCGCGTAAAATAAAGAATTAAAATCATGATCAATTTGAAGAGTATAAAATAAAAACTACTAGTCAGAATTTTAAAAATAAGACCGTAATTTTTTGTCTAAGAATTGACTTTCAGAATATCCAAAAACTTTTAAAAAATGTTTATCTTAGTTTTGTGATCAAAATATATTATTGTAAAATTAATAAAAAATTATAATTTCTTTACATCTAATTAAACAAACAAAAAAGAAGTATATTTGCATATCATTTTCTACATTAAATTAATGAAACCTTTATAGTGCTGAACAAACAAAAATATCTCCACCAATATCATCGAAAAAAATATAAATGATTTTATATATAAATATATATATATATATATATATATATATATATATATATATATATATATATATATATATATATATATATATATTTATATATATATTTATATATATATATATATATATATATATATATCTATATATATATATATATATATATATATATATATATATATATATATATATATATATATATTTATATATATATTTATATACATATATATATATATATATGTATATATATATATATATATATATATATGCTATATATGTATATATATATATATATATATATATATATATATATATATATATATATATATATATATATATATAATATATATTATATATATATATATATATATATATATATATATATATATATATATATATATATATATATATATATATATATATATATATATATATATATATATATATATATTCATGCCGGTTAAGTCGACACTTTGTATGAAAAATTGCGCGATAAAAGAGACATATATATAAAGGCGACAAAATCGCGTTGCCTTTATTTTTTAATGTAAAATATTGAGCATCCCGCGCTTTGCATATTTTAAAACAATTGCAAAGAAGAAACCTAGTTACCATGATTTTAATCTATGTAGGATAGTTTTATTTTTGAAACATTTTTAGAAGGAAATAAGCACTATGTTTAGATCCGTATATGAATGAGAATGAAAAAAGTAGCTATAAAAGCGACGTTAGTGTATATTTGCGTGTATATTGCAAGTTAAAGGCGACAATTTTTCTAAGTTTTAGGATTTTAGAGGTAAAACATGTATAAATTTATGATATAATATTTATACATGTTGTTTTTATATTATTTATCTTAAATATGTATTAAAAAATAAAAAATAAAAAAATTATGTCGCCTTAAAATATCTTTTTAAACAGTGTCGACTTTGCGTGGTATTTAGCAGTATATATATATATATATATATATATATATATATATATATATATATATATATATATATATATATATATATATATATATATATATATATATATATATATATATATATATATATATATACATATAAAATATGCATATATAACAAAATTTAGCAAAACTAAACTAGACAGATAAGTAAAAAAGACTTTTTTTTTGTTTTAATTTTTTATTAAACACAGAAAGCCTTTTCTATGAAATCTTCAACTGTATATGAGACTAACAAAACTATAAAAAAAAATTTTTATTGAACTTCCTTAACAGTTTAAAAAGAAAGTAATTAAGGTTTTTAAAAAAACAATACTTATCAATAATATAGTATAATTAAATTCTTATTGGTTAGGAAATTTTAAAAGCAGTTTGAAAATAATTAAATTTGGTTTATATGTTCATTGTATCATGACCCAGTTTATGCAGGTGAGCTTTCTTTTGAATGTTTTTAACATAGGAATAGTTTGAAAAAAATGGTTTAATTTATTGCAATTGAAAACATACTGATCAAATTTATTTGAATGAATGTTTGTTCTGCATCTCTAGATGTGTTATTTAGTTCTAAATTTTAGGTTATTAGATTTTCTAGTGCATGTTGTTTTTCCATCACTCCAATTGAAAGATAAAAAAAAATTATAATTTCGGAATAACAAGATATTAAAGTTTCAATGTTCCATACTTTACAATATGATGTGGTAAAACAGTTAACAAACTGAAGATACATAGTGCATAACTTACGACGTTTTGATACGCATTTTAAAACCATTTTAACGTTAATAAAAAATGGTTTCGTATTTAAACTTGCTATACTAAAGTGTCTGAAAATATTTTTCGGTTGACCGTGTAATAGTACTATAAAAACTAAACTTTATATTTGACTTAATTTAACTAATAAAAACATTTTCTTTTATTTATTCTCATATTAGTTTGTATAGTTTTTCATTTGTTACCTAGAACATTTATACACACACATTTTTATATATATATATATATATATATATATATATATATATATATATATATATATATATATATATATATATATATATATATATATATATATATGTATATATATATATATATATATATATATATATATATATATATATATATATATATATATATATATATATATATATATATATATATATACATTTAACCATATAACACACATGTTAATATTGATTTTGTGTCTTGTAGTTATCAATCATGGGTAAAAAAGTACACAACAAATATATAAAGTTGTGATTTGGCACCATTGCTAGACCAAGCTAACAGAGCACGTTCAAGTATGTTCAACAAACGTTGCGACCGTAAGAGCACGCTCTATCAACATTCACACAACGTTCTGGAACATTTTTTGTTAGCTTGGGAGTTGATCATAAAAAATAAAGGGTTTTAACTATCAACAGAGAGACAATTCTTGCTATGCCTTTTATCAAACCTGAAAAATTTCTACTAACATCAAGCTTTATTTGAAGCTTTAGACAATTTGCTTTTACCCTATCAGAAATCAGAAGAGATACTAACTCTAGTAGACAGAAATACTATAAAAATTGAGTTTGAATATAGAAGAATTACATTTAGTTATAGAAGGGAAATCATTATTTTGATGAAATTCAAATTGATTATAGAATAAAAGAAGATAAATCTAGAACAATTAGTTTTAAGATTTGCATATGTAGTGCGGTGTTTACTCGCCCTTAATTTTCTTTTTGTATGTTTGTGTTCTGTTTGAATAATTAAAAATTCCGTTTGAATGTTTAATAATGTTTTTGATGCAGTGTAAGGTCATTAAGTATCTACTTAACTATAAAACCTACGTTCACCTTATTCCCCAGTATTTTGATAAATGTAATGTTTTTCCTAATGAATTTCCAAAAATATTATGAATAATGTTAAAAGGTATTGTTTACAGAAAGTAACTTCTTTTAATTACTTCAGTTCAGGTAAGGTTCAGAATCATCACGATCATCATGCTAACAGTATTACATAACCTAGTACTTCCTGCTGTATGCTTTCCTGCCTTGTAGGGTTTTCTTTTTTAGGAAAAACTAGGAGAAGCTAACTCCAACTCAAAATCCCTTTTCATCGGGTTTTCTTTAAGTAAAAGCTAGAGATGATGTTTCGATAAAAATATTTATCTTATGCAAATGTTAACAGCATCCATCTAATTTCTTGTATATACGATTTACTTTTTAAAATATGCTATAAAACAAAGACAGTGCCGTTTTTTTTCTATCAAGTTTAAATGTAAGTTTACGAATTTAGTATGTATAAATAAACAAAGAATTATTTTTAAAACATTTAGTATATTGAGTATAATAGAAAGTATTTTTGTAT